GGGGCTAGCGAGGGCCTCGCCGGAGCCCCCGGGCCTGCCCGGGCTTTCGGAGAACGCGGATCGGGAGGAAGGTGGCGGCAGCCCCTCGCGGACCCCCGGAGGTCGCAGGACGCCGGGCCTGACACCGCTGGGGCCGCGGGGCCCGGCCGCCCCGCATCCACGCGCCGCTGTCGTCTTTGGCCCAGCGCGTGCACCTGGACATCCAGGTGGGGGAGCACACGAACAACTACCCCGAGATCGCCGCCAAGGACAAGCTGACGGAGCTGCAGCTGCGAGCCAGGCAGCTCCTGGACCAGGTGGAGCAGATCCAGAAGGAGCAGAACTACCAGCGGGTGAGACCGCGACGGCCCCTCGGCCCTCCCAGACCCTCCTGCGTCCCGCGACGTAGACCCTGGCCGGGAGCGAGCCGTCCTTTGAGGGCCTTTCCCGCTGCCGAGGTGAAGCGCGAAATTGACTCTTGCGTGGCTTGCCCGTCTTTGTGGCCTCCGGTGGCCCCCCAGGATAAAGGGGGTGCAAGCTAACGGACGCTGGACCTGTCCAGGCTGTCTGTGGATGGCGTTGGAATAAGGGGGAAGCAGTGCTTTGACGCCAGAGCAGCCAAGGATGCTACTAAGCCTGCGCCCCTTCTGGATATGGCAGGAAAAGGTGTTGCCGGGAGGCGATTATCCTGCACTTGCAAGTTGTGCTGGCCTGAAGCCAGAAGAAAGGGGTTGCCATGTAGTGTTTCAAACTATTTCAGATGCAGGTGCATGAAAAGAAACCCACAGTATTTTGCTGTGGGTAAACTTGCTGGCTTTCTCCCTGCAACGAATGAGATTGGCAAAGAGGTGGGAGATGCTTTGGGTGAGAAACTGGGAAGGTCCTGCATCTTCCACCTTGGTCAGATTGAGGGCAACATTGAATGGAGGGTGACAGGAGGAATCGGAGGGACATTTTCTGATGCTAACTGCTGCGTTCCCTTTGCAGTTCCGAGAGGAGAGGTTCCGTATGACCAGCGAGAGCACGAATCAGCGGGTGCTGTGGTGGTCCATTGCGCAGACTGTCATCCTCATTCTTACAGGCATTTGGCAAATGAGGCACCTCAAGAGTTTCTTTGAAGCCAAAAAACTGGTTTGATTTCTTCAACATCACAGATGTCGTTATAAACATCATTACTTTCCACTGAGCACATCTTGATTTTTCTGGATTTAAGTACTAAACTAAGAAGCACAGCAGACAACACCCTTGCCCAACGACATAGGCCCTTATCCATGAAAGCATCTCAAACGTTCCGTATCTTTGTGCTTTGAAGTAGGTGAGGCTAGTGGTGAGTGAGGATGGCCTGCCTCCTCAGTTGTCAAGCTTTCCCGGAACATTCCAAGAAGCTGCTGCTTTACAAAAGACCGGGAAGGTCCCCCTCCATTGCTTTTGTGATTGTTGCCATTTGCTTAAAAGCTAATGGCCCATATGACTAGAACTCTTCAATAGAATATCGTCAAAGGGAAAATTAGATTTACATCAGAACTGTGTTGAATACCTTCCCTCTTCAAATACTATTGGTCTAAATACTGTTTAGTTTCAGTGGTTGTCAGGCAGCCAAGGGATGGAATGATTTCGTGCAGCATCTTCCCTTCAGTCCCTTATTGTAGTTCTCAGTTTTCTAAGCAGAAAATTTGTCTTGGCTGGAGAGTCACTGTAAATGAGGGAGTAATAGAAGTTGCCTCCAGGTTTATTGTAAAGGTTGAATAAAGGAGCCCCTTATTTGCAGACATCCTTTTTGCCAGCCTTCCTGTGATTTGGAAATAGAACTGTAAATAATCCAGCTACAGGACAACACTACTGCAGTTTGGCCGCAGAGTTGGACCTTCGAAGCAGTGGGACCTGGAAATGGGCACTTTTTCCTTCTCTGTTTGCTTGGGCAAGTTTGTCATGAGGCCCATTTGTTACAGTTTTGGAGTGAAATAAAGTTTTTCTGCAAGAGGCTCTCTGTGTATGTTGGTGAGAGAAGTACATGAAAGCAAGTGTGGTGACATAAATCTGAATTATAAAAGTTCACAAATTCTTAACAGTAAAAGACCAAAAAACCCATGAAGTCACTTCCGTGAGAGCTTTAAAATCGCATCCCTGCATTTCTCGCTCTCTGGAAGAAAAATCCTGCCAGAGAAAAGACGCTGCCCAGAAATGGTCCTCGAGCCTTGCGTCCCACCGACGGGGCGGCGATGCTCCAGATGCGGCCAGAGCCTCGGGGATTCCGTTGGGCTCCGAAGCGCCCCCGGGGAACCAACCTCCGAAGGCTTGGGGGGGTCCTCCCGGCTTGCCGTCTCCCACTGCCTCCTGCGCGGGCCGATCTCGGGGGAGCATGTTGGGCGAAGGAAGGGCCGCTCCCGGCCAGCGCAGCCCGCCGGAGCTGCCGCCCAAACGGGGGTCGGGTCTTTGCAAGGTGAGTTCCGGGCAGCTAGCGTGAAACGAACGGGAACCCCCGGGAAACAGCGAGCGCGGCCGCCCGTAGCGTAAGCCGCCTGGGCAACGTCAGCACGAGGAGCGGAAAGCGCGCCAAATCGCGCGCCCGCTGGGCGACGAGCTCGCCACCCGCCCGGCCTTCGCTCTCCCCTCACCCG